ACTGATGACATTTGAGTGAGGAGTGGATCCACTGCAGCTCCAGTTCCTTTTAAACCCCCTTAACTAGAGAGGGAATGTTGCGGTGTCTTCTAGCTTTTATTTTCTTTATTATTTTATTATTGTTTCTTCTTGGTACAAACTGCCTTTGCCCTTGGACCCTGATTGTCTGCAGCCTCCTTCCTGCCAGACATACCATGGGTCCTCCTCCTTGGAATGGAGCATACCGGCTGCTTGAGAATGTACTACAAAGTGCCACTTCCTCTCGAAGTGTAAGGGCTGCTCTGCCTTCAGGAGCAGATCCAGATAGCTAAGGAAGGACAGACTGAAGTTATTCCTTATGGCACAGTCTTTCAGAACCACCATCACTTCAGGGTATGATTCCCCCTGCATACACCATCACCAGCCTCTCAGAGCATTCCAGTGACGACTTTGGCTTCGGTGAGCAGAAAGAGGGTAGCTTCAGAGACTGTAAAGCCCTCTTGAAAAGAACAGACATCAACCATCCCCATATGTGGTACCTAAAAGAAGGGAAAAGTCACCTAAAGGCCAGGGATTAAGAAAGAAGCATGGGTACAACGAGGCTTCTACCTCTTCTGGTATCAAGATGTTGGCACTCATGAACAAGACTTCAAGCCCAAACACAGCGAAGTCTTATAACAAACAGCCCTGTTCAGCACGGTTGTCATTTCCCATGGAGCCTCCAACACAAGGACTTGAAAAAACTGCCACCAGCCTCTATCCAGGCACCCTCTTCAGGCTTTGTGCATACAGCTCACCCATCCATACTGTCTCCATATGTACCCATATGCTTTGACATTCTGAACCTCAGGTCTCTGAGCACTTTCCAAAAAAGCAGAGATTCAGGGTCATGGTCCTAGCAGCAATAATTCCACCTTTACCGCATCATTAATTGATTTGTGGCCCTCAACATCCACATTATTTACTTCCATATAGCCTTGCATCCTGCTCACAGATCTTCTCTGTGGTTCATGGTCAATACCAAGTTTTTCCTGCCAGCCTTTCAATCCATGCACCTTCATCACACTTATTGAACATAAGTAGTCTAGTCCAGGCTGTTGTCTGAACTGTACTGACTACAGCTCCTTTGTCCCCGTCTCTGTAACTGAAGCACTGTTCGTAGTCACCTGAAGTGAAGAAGCCATCAGGACAATAATCCAAAGAAGGAGAGGTTGCTTATCTGAACTGGCATTTTTCAAAATGTTCTCCCCCACATGCCCCCCTTTCTCCCTGCTTTGGAATCCTTGTCTCTCTGGACGTTGTTTGAGAAGGTGAATCTGTCCCTTCCCCTTCTTGGCAAGAAGTAACTTTTCTTACATGTAGTAGGGATGAATCTTAAGTGATCTATTCCTACAGAATGGCAGGGCATAGAAATGTAGCAACAGGCACTTGAGAATAAATGCAGGATTTTTGAATGTAAGCAGGATGTATAAATTTAAACCTTGTCTCTTTCTGTCATTTCAGTTTCTGCAAGACATTCTAGACACATTGTTCGTAATTTTGGATGACAACACAGAAAAGTATGGCCTGTTAGTCTTTCAGTCTCTGGTAGGTAGCCTAACTCCCATTAAATTAGCACTTTTCTTCCCCTGGCGGTCAGAATTCCCTGTGCTTCTGTTACCTTACCATCATGCTTTCTTGCTTTCTTGTTACCATAAATGTATGAGAGACTCAGCTGGAGTACCCTTGTACTTTTTTGTAACATCATGGGGCACAAGGAGTAGGATAACCATAGCCAAGATGTGAGGAGACAGGGATTGTACCCATCAGTAGGGGAGGGCAGGACCGCCCTTAGGATTTATGGAGCCTTACGAAAGGTACTATTAAACTGGTGCCCCTATGCTCACTTGCAGCCTGGGGTGGGGGTGATGGTATTTTAGAGATGTGATTGTACAATTGTTGATATTTTAGAGATGTGATTGTACAATTGTCAGCAACAGTGACTAATGAAATATTTTAAAACAAAAATTTTAAACTGAAGTCCTGTTGACTTGCATATTAAATTCAGAAACTGACAGTTCACAGGGGCGACAGGTATAATAAGTGGAGGAAGACATGGACTTCCCAAACCACCAGCCTGCCCCCACCCATTCTCCACCTCCAGAATGCGTACTATAGGTGTACTGGGGAAGGAGTATTGCTGCCCCCAAGCACCCACCATCTTTGTGCTCTGGGGCTGAGGAGGCTGGGAACATGCATTGCATGCCATCTTCCTCCCTCCCCGTGCCCTGGGGCTAGAGAGGCTGGGGCCACGCACCATCCTCCCTCCCCATGATTCTGTGGGGACGGGGCAGCTTAGCTCCTGTGGGGACAGGGCCTGGACAGAAGGAATGGGGCTACGGACAGAGCTGGAGACTTGCCTCCCCCAACTCTACCTTCACCCACCACCCATGACAGTATATACCTGGGATTGGCAGATACCTGCTAAACATCTTCATTGCTATTTGAATGGCTCTTTCACAATTCAGTGTTCTGCTAGTAGGCCGGGCAGACTTTTTCACTTTTAAAAAACATAAACAACAAATGGTTCTGCAGCACCTTAGAGACTAACAAAACATTTCGATGGTATCGTGAGTTTTCATGGGTACAACCCACTTTTTCAGATGAATGGAGTAAGGGATCCAGGGTACAAATAAATAGCAGAAAAGGAAGAGGATGGGGAGGGAAAGGGAAAAAAATAGTAAATTAGAATGTCTGTGCTAAATGAGGCTAATAGAGTGGGCTGTAAGTACCCAGTGCTTAGCTTTTTATGTCATTAGGATGTGGAATGTAGTGGCCCATTCAGTTCAAGTCTTTGTTCAGACCTTGATTATAGGTGCCGAACTTGTAAACTTGGTTTAGTTTACATCTACCTATTCTGTATATGGGTAAGTATGGACCTGGAGAAAGGGCAAACAAGAAGTCAGAGGAGCATGTCTGTCTTCTGCATATAAAAAAAAAAAAGCATAAACATCTGACTGTTTCTTAGCCTGTGTAGCATGTTCATTTAATCCCTGTGACGTGCATTTTAGTCTGTTATGGGTTCCCTTCTCTTTCTTCCACAGGTGTTCATCATAAATCTGCTACGTGACAGCAAATACTTCCATTTTCGACCTGTTATGGACATGTACATTCAGAAACACTTTGCGGGAGCACTGGCTTACAAGTAGGTTGTGTTTTGCCATCACTTCAAACAACACAGTAACACTTTCTGATGTTAAGTGGTGTGGGCACCAGAGCCACAGCTTCTTTTCTAGCAGAGTATTCAAAAGCAAACATTCTGGAGGAAAAAAAATGTATTGCATGACCTCTAAATGTAACCACAAAGAAAAGCTGCTAAATATCATCTCAGTCCTAGTCCCATCTTGGCTAGCAAGGGTTTGGGATGCTGTGAAGTGAGGGAGTTCTTCATGTCACTTAGCAGCTGCTAATTAAGAAGCTGTGTTGATGAGCCCCACAAACATCCAGGCTTCCTTTACTAGAAAGTTGCTGGCTACTTGAGGCCTGCATGAAATTTAAGCAGGGAGCATGGAAATTATTCTTACATTTGTTATCAGGAATGCTTTACTGGCATAAGACTCAGAGCCTCCACTTTACGCAGACAAATCACCTACTGTTGGATATCTTTTTCTATGGCTAGTTCCAAAGAAGAGGACAAGTGTTCAGATTAAATCAAGGTATTCTGGTCTATGAGATTAAAGGTAGAATATCCATTTCAATAGGGAATTGGAAACTTAATTCCCATTAATACGCAAAAGAGTGGTGAGCCTTATTTTCCAGTATATCACAATGAAGTGTTATTTCATGAGTCAGATTTAGAAAGCAATTATCATCCAGGATTGTATTTTATCTTTCTTCCAGATTGCTTCTTGTGCATAATTTAGTGGCTCATAAATTGGGTCAAAATAAAGTGAAGACAATAATTGTTCAGCTCCAACATTCTTGGCCCTGGTATTATAGGGGACTCAAGCTACAGTATATTAAAAAAATCTTAAATTGATTAAATTGAAAATGTTCTTTTAAAAGAGACTGGAAACTGTATGTTTGATACAGGATCACGAAGTACACTGAAGACAGAAAGATGAGAAAGCTGTCTCCCAATTTTTAACAGTCAGTATCATCTTTGAACTAAGAAAAATGTTATTTGCAGTTCTGCTTTCTTCTGATGGGATGGTGTCCAAAGAAACTTATTCTTAAGTATATGTAATACCTCAGGATATTCTAAACAATCTTGTGAACTTGAGGAAAGTAGATAAAGGTATTTCTCTATGGTTTTTATATCAGTTGGTCCCTTCCAGTTTCAAACACTTTCTGAAAATTGCTTACCTTTCTCAGAGCCTTACTCAGATTGCTTAGCCAAAGAAAAATACTTTCTATAAATAGATTATTTTCTTTATTTGAAGTGATCTGTTATTACCTCTTTTTGATTATTTGTCCCTTGCCATCTGAGTTAATTATGGAGGGAGAATTATTTTGTGTCAGAAATTTCTTCTTTACATTTAATGTACATGTCATTACTGGAAACTTGGTTGTTTAGACTAACACGCCTAATTATTAGAACTGAGTGGAATAGGGGAGCAGATTGCATTTCTTGCTGTCTAAGGAAACAACTGCCAAGTCATTTCAGAAATCCAGGTTTCAGATTTGGCCTGTTTCAGATAATTGCTTGATGTTTCTATCAATGTGTCTCTTACTCAGAGAACTGATCCGATGTTTGAAATGGTACATGGACCGGTCAGCTGAGCTTATACGGCAAGATCATATCCAGGAAGCAATGAGGGTATGTGTTTGTCATAAATATCTGTTTGTTCAGTGTGTCTGTGGCTTTTACACAGCTGAGTCTGCTCTTAAGGCACATGAAACCTGGTCTTGAGCAGACTTCCAGTACTCATTTGTCAAGAACAAATTTCAACATTTTGTCAAAAATTGCTCAAATTCTAACCTTAAGGTGAAATTCACCCTTGTGCAGGAGGGTCAGCACAAGATCTATGCCTCATTAACTCCTACCAAAACTCTGTTTTGTGGATTTAAGTGGTGTTTCTTGTGGGCCATTGGCCTTATTCTTGTCCTCTGCACAATAATAAATTTCACTCTTATAGAAGTAAGATTTTATAATGATTAGAGCACAGAATCTGCAATTCTGTTTTTTATTTCTGGCAGTGACACAGACTGTGTGAACCTCTAAAATATTTTAATTGGGCCTTTGAATGGGCCATGACGAGGGTAGATACCATCCCAGAAGGAATGGACCAGTTGTTAATGATCAAAGTGCAATCTTGAAAGAAAGTGAAGCTTCCCATCCCTGTGTGTGAAATGGAAATAGTTTTTGTACTAGTTCAGTTCCACAGAATATGCATGTAACCCTTCTGGCAGGTAATGCCAGCAGCAGCTATGGCTGGATTCAATTTCTACGGGGGTCCCTTTTCAGCCATTTCACACAGAACCAACTCAAGCCTCCACCCAGTAGCCTGGGAAATTCACACACCTCTGGGCGCCTCTGAGAGGCAGTGCTTCCCCAATCACAAGCACAGAGTCTGAGTGTAGAAAAGAAACTTTTAATAAAAGAGGGAGAGAGGTTACATGGCATTAGCTTGGGAAAATACCACGAAAAGAGTTCATAACCCACCCACAAGTAACCATCCCAGCTCAAATGGATTGAGCAATGCCCTTTGCTTCTCAGGCTCACTAGTCCAACAATGCAAGGGTTCCATTCACTTACCCAAACTTTCTCCATACCCCACTTCAAACGCCCCACTTACAGCTCTGACCAGTCAGTGCAGAACCCTGACACATCACCCTGATGTCTCCTCTCATTGAGCCTGAGGCCATGCCACCTTTGTGCTGCTCCTGTGGTCTGCTTGCTCCGCCTGCCACCACTCCTACCGGCTGCCCGCCCCGCTCTGGTTTCTGCAATGGGTCTGGCTCCATGCCAAACCAATGACTTCAGCTCTTAGAGAGTTCAACTCTTTAGCCACCATCTAGGCTAGCAAAAGATTCCAATTTCCACTGGACTAGCAAAAAGACTCCTGATGGAATCTGTTTTAGTTCTATCCTTAGAACAGGGGGAAAGAAACAGGTTGAACCAGTCTTATAGCTCATACCTGGCAGGCATGAAGCAGGCTGGCTCAAACCCTTTCCCCCAACTCAGTACACTCAGCTCTGGAAGGGGGAGGCTTGTTTATCTGAGACCACTTACAATGATGGTGTCTCTTCTGCAAGCACTGGTGTCCTATTTTACAGTTCCTACATTTAGGGGTCGCATGGTTTGTGACCCCACAACAGCCCAAATTAGTTACAGTACATTCCATTCCATTCTAACAACTGATCCTCCATCAGCCCTGGATGAATTGGATTTACATAACCACACCCCGGATTCTTTCCCCATCCCAGCATGAGCTATATTTACATATCAATAGTTAATTGTCTTGCAGAGCTAAACAACTTCAGCTGGCTGCATTGCAAGCAGTCCTTCAGACCCCTGGCTTACACGTATGAAATGCTTTCTTTTTACTACAATTATATTACACCTGCAAGAACACAAGGTCACCGAGGCTGTGTCCAGACTCAAGGGTTTTTTCGAAAAAAGTAGCCTTTTTTCGAAAAAACTTCACCTGCGTCTAGACTACAGCTGCATTCTTTCTAAATTACATCGAAAGAATGCGGCTTTTCTTTCGACGGCGGTAAACCTCATTTCACGAGGAAGAACGCCTTTTTTCGAAAGTACTCTTTCAAAAAAAGGCATTCTTGAATGCCAACAGGGCTTTTTAGAAAGAGAGCATCCAGACTCACTCGCTGCTTTCTTTCGAAAAAGCGGCTTGCTTTTTCGAAAGTACTGCTTGCAGTCTAGACGCTCTTTTTCGAAAGAGGCTTGCAGTCTAGACAGAGCCCAAGAGAAAGAGGTTTACTATAGAAAGGCCACGGATTTTGGAATTTAGAGAAATACAAACTTTTTTCCCAATTGGCCTTTGTTGAACGTAGAGGGATGAAAGTTGACTTCATTGAAAAGATCTCAAATAGATCATTTCATTTTAAGCAGGTCCCACCTTTTTCAGCAGATTCTGGCATAGACAAACAAATATGTTACATTTCTCATAATGACATTTCCAGCTAGTGTACACCTTTGCATTTATGCTATAGTAGCTC